TGAGAGCTGGCCTGTCGTCAGGGGGAGGACGAACTTGGAGGAACATCTCGATATCGGCTTGCATTGCGATTTGTCCAAGTCTGAATCTTGATAACACTCCCGTTAGTTCTTTTACTAAATCTGGCCCAGTATACAGGTAGTCGTTCAGACACTGATCTTTATATTTGGCTGCGCAATCAAACACGATTCTCAGTTTCCCAGGTTTGTGAGGATTGACTACCGGGTGGTGAGGGACGTACGGTTGTGCCGTCTGGTCCACGCGTTGGCATCGGCTAATAAATCCGGAGCTCTTGTGCTGCTCTATTAAACTGCTATACTGTTGCAATAGTTCGGCATCCTCCTTCAATCGATTACGTAGGCAGAAAAGTCGTTTTTCGGCCATTGGTCGGTTATCAGGCAATTCGGACCAAGGTTTCTTTCAGGGCTTAGGAACTTCATAGTGTTCATCAACTAATTTGACGCTGCGTGTCGTGGAATCCTTAACCTTTTAATCCTCTCGAGACAGTGACCTGTCGGATAATGTCTCTTTATCGATGAACTCAGTGCTTAACAGTTTCACGATATCTTGGTCTATCAAATTTTGTTTTTCTGTGCAGCTGACAGACACCGTTCTGTCTTTCCTACCTCCGTTTGGCCCGAAAATGACCCATCCGAACACCGGTAACGTCGCGTAAGGTTTTTTCGACCAACCAATCCGTTGCTCAATAACCCAGTGGGCCTCTGATACATTCGCTCCTATCAAGAGAGATACCGAATCAGTTGCAATACTTCGAAATGTTAAATTTTTAAGGTGTGGCCATCCTTTCAGTTTGCAATCCATTGCACGGTGCCGTCGACCGAGACAATTGATGCAACAATTTTCCCTTCGAAGTAACTGAACCCTTTCGATTCTTTCCATGTTTAAGAATGTCTTACAGTGCTCGATAGTGTGTCCGTGGTCATGGCAGACTGGCCATTCCATTGCTCTTTGAGATGACATCGCTTGGACAAATCTTTTGGGCTGATTCTCCCTATAGTTCTAGAGGGATTTGCTGGGAAAAGAGTTCGATCATTGTACTATTTGCCCGTAGCAATTGGAGTTAATGGAAATTCTTCTATTGGAAAACGCCGTTAAATCGCTAAAGCTCAAGCAAATTCCCTTAATTCTGCCTCGGTTCCCCATTGACGCCGTTCTCACAATCAACAGAGTACAAACCCATCAGTATTATATAAACTTTCTAACTGTCCCATCCCCAAAAAACCTGCAGTTTTTCTGTTTTGTTAATTAACTCTCGCTCCATTGTTAATAAATTTGGATCCTTAAAAATATATCGTACTCCGGCTCTTTTGTCATCATTATGGCTACCGAAACGTGGCTGCAGGACTACTCTCCCACAGGTCTTATGTCCTTGATCGGATACAAACTCTAGTAAAAACCGACGGAATCGCCGCGGTGGCGGATTCTTAGTTTATGTCAAAGCTCCTCTACAGGCGATTCCACTGAACGATCCCACCCTCGATAAAGTTCAGGAATCACTTTGGCTAACTGTTACATACCACAACCTAACGTTACTGCTTGGTTGTATATATCGTCCCCCCTCAAACTCCTACGACCTTTCGCATATCTCTGAATCCCTCAACCATTGATCAGACTTCTCGCCTGGACCTAAA